GTAGAAGTATAGAGGTGGCTTAACCATTAGGCCACTTGGGTAGTAGCCTAAGGCTCACAAAAAAAATTCAAAATTTTTTAAATGTCGAAGGCCCCAACTTTTCAAAGTCTTAGTTAAATAAGGTCTCATCTTGATGTTTAGCCTAAGGCCTCTAAAAATCTTTGAGCCGCCACTGTAAAAACACACCTAGGGCTGCAAACGAGCCAAACCGAGCTTTGCAGGGCTCGAGCTAGGCTAATTTGCTTACCTAGCTCTATTATCCAACTCAAGCTCAGCTCAATAACTAATCGAGCTCAAACTCGTTAATATTAGTCAAGCTCGAGCTCAATTCAAAACTCAATAATAAATTTTTTTAATTATTATTATTTACATTTTTTAAATATTAAATAAAAATATTATTTATAAAACATATAAATAATATATTTATTCTATAATTTAAATAAAAAGAAATGAGTTGAGCTTATTTAAGCTCGAGCTCGGCTCATTACTAAACAAGACTAAAAGTTAGGCTCGAGCTCGTTTATTTACTTAACGAATCGAGCCCTTAATGAGCCGAGCCGAGCTCTTCAATAGCTCGGTTCGTTTGCAAACCTAAGCACACCTTACCCCTTTATAATAGAATTTTGAGCCATTTCTAGACTGACAGGGTTTATAGACTGACAAGATTTAAGGAGAGGAATCATAGTGATTTTTCACTAGTTCTACAGATTATGAAAAATCACAATCTCCAATTATGGGAAACTACATCATATCTCCACGAGTTCCCAAGAAAAATCTAGTGTCAAAACTCCATCATTTGATCCTCGAAACCCTATGCCAAATGTTAAGACAAATTGCCCCACCAGGTTGCCTGACATGCACCAACGTGCGGGCTTGGACGCGGGCAATGTTAGGCGTGCTACTCAACATGCAAATGTTGGACTTCTTAGGACCATCCTCCAAGCCATGTTGAGGCATCAGAGCACTAACTAGGAGTGTCAATGCCACACTCATCATGAGCATTCCCAAAGGCCTTGACTGAGCACTCCAATGGTCACCACACATGCAAGCGTCAAGTTGGACTTGAAAGGTATTCAAATAAATGCTTAAGGGATCCCAATTACATCATTAACCTACGTAGAAATCCTAATTCTCAATTTTGAATAGGGTGAAATGTATTTCTACCATTAATGCATAGTGGGCAAGATAGCTCAAATAAGGGTCTGTTTAGTAATCATTACGTTTATAGTTTTCTATTTATATTTACAAAAAATTTTAAAACTACCATACAAACTTGTTTAATAATTTTTTTCGTTTATAAATAGCTAGTCTCAATTTGTAAATTTTGCTGAAAAATATAAACACAAAAAATGAGTTTACGTTTGTTTTATAAACAAAAAACTTCAATCCAAAAACATGGAGCAACAGTAAAAGGGTTACGAGCAGCCTCCAACCAGGGTTCAAATCTCTGTAGAAGCAAATTGTAACATATGTTATAAATTATTATCAGCAACTACATCAGTAGTATTCAAAATCTCATCTCTAACTTCATATCTATCTTCTTAGGAAATTATATGATATGCACAGTGTTATGTATTTTTGTAAATTATCGTTAAAAAATGTGTAACATTACCACAAAATATACAAATTTTGTCATAACTCTACCAAAAAAATACGTAACATATATTACAAATTGTCATAAATTTTGTCATAACTCTACCAAAAAAAATACATTACTACAAAAAGAGTAACTTCATTTGTGAACTACAAATTGTCGTAATATTTACCACAAAAATGTATAACATATACCACAAAAACATAGGTATGTACCATACATAGCATGACCCATCTTCCTATTCTATTTTAAGCACTCCACTTCCCCAGCAAAATTGGAAGGGAACAAAAGGGAAGTGAAATGTTTTTTCATAATAATATATTAAAATATCTAAATTAAGTATCTCTCGTCTTAATTAAGTATTGTTTAACCAAACAAGTGGGAGAAGACTTCCTTTCCTCCCCTCACAACTCTCTCTCTCATTTTTTTTTTTTTTTTGCATAAATAAAACTCCTTCCTCTGATTTATGGTTGGTATTGTACCAATATATTTATTATGGATGCTTATTATAATATTATGATTTGTATGGTTCCCATTGTCATACATAACTAAAAGAAATATAAACATTCTAGGCCTTAAACATGTTTTTTGATTTTTGTTTTCAAAATTTTTTAAACACTTTGTTCAAACCAAATGTGTTTATAGTTTTTATTTTTCTAAAAATAAACTAAAACCAATTTATAACATTTTTTTAAACGTAAACGTTACCAAACGCCACCTAAAGTTTCAGTTTTAATTTTTTGTCTAGTTACAATGCCCAACCAAAGTCTAGCAAAGTTCTACTTGAAAGTTTCTCTGTATCAAATAATACCTTTCTAGATGAAGGATATCTAATACCAATCAATTTTTTTTTTTTTTTTATTGGCATCGAGGTGTCCAGATCAAAGCCTGACTAATCCCCAGTAGTGCATAGTCCCTCAGTAAGGAGTACGCCACGGTTAATTCAAGGATTTTCCCCAACTCCAATGGCCACAAGGAATTGTTTTAGTCAATCCATTTTTTTCATTTCCGAATTGGGCACATCCTTGTAGTAATCAAATGAACTGGGTTGTGCATGTTCTGTGGCTTTAATAAAGACATATGGCAAATGGGGCACAGCCACAATAGTCCCTCACTAAGGAGTACGCCACAGTTAATTCAAGGATTTTTCCCAAATCCAATGGCCACAAGGAATTGTTTTAGTCAATCCATTTTTTTCATTTCCGAATTGGGCACATCCTTGTAGTAATCAAATGAACTGGGTTGTGCATGTTCTGTGGCTTTAATAAAGACATATGGCAAATGGGGCACAGCCACAATAGGATGCAATTTCCGGATTGGAATAAGAAATTCCACATTAATACTAATGCTTCACTCTATGCCATTGGATGCATCATGCATGTTAGCACTAAAAGGGTCGAAACAAACATATTCGTTTGGCTGCTGAGGTCCTAATCACCAAAGTCATAAATACTTGATTAGAAATGAAGATGCAAATCAAATCATCTTGGTACTATGATCTAAATGCTCTGGTAGCCTTATCTCATTCAATATTTGGTCCACTTGTTATGGGATTTGTTTTGTCAAATGTAGTGAATAGACAGAGTGAGGCTGAATTTTGATTAGACATTTGCTCATTCCGCAAGTTTCTAAGCTCACAATGCCAGCAGCCGTAATAAAGAGGTGTGCAATATGAGATAACAAAGAGGTGTGCAAGATGGTGCTAGCAGTAGCTCACAATTCCAGGCCTTCTATTTTTACAAGTATTCATCCACTAAATATTTTTGCCATTGGCAGGAGATAAGGAAACTCAAAGTACTTGTTTGGCTGTTTTTAATCCAGGTTAAAAATCTGGCTCTTTGATCCCATAAATCACAGATCATGGCATGGACTTCCAAGCTAAGGCACAATTTCAACTCCTAAGGTTTAGGCTGTACATACCTATATGCAAATAGGGATGGACTGCCGCCCCCAAAAAAAAATTTAATTATATTATAGTAGGTATTAGGCTACGAATATTTTCAAATTATATAGGTTCTCCCCCTTATGATTTTTTTAGAAAATTTATTCCCACCCCCCCAAGTTCTTCTGCTTTGGTTTTCCTTTCAGTTCTTCTGTTTTGGTTTTCCTTCACAATCCTTCTTTTGTATCAATTTTCAGTCTTATAGGTTCACCCCGCTAAGATTCTTTTAGAAAATTCAATACTTCCCCCTCTTAAGTTTTTTCTGCTTTTGGCTTCACCTTTTCAATTCTTTTATTTTGGTTTTTCTTCACAATCCTTCCTTTGTTTCAATTTTCAGTCTTCTTATTCTTATTATTTGAATTTCTTTTTCAGCTCTTCTTCCATTTTTGTTTTCATCTCTATTTCAATTTCTTCTCCTTCATTTCGATTTTGGTTTCTCCTTCCCCTATGTTTTGATTTTCATTTCACTTATCAGTCCTCTTTCTCCTTCTCTGTTTGGGTTTTCACATTGTTAGTACTTTGCTTTTTTATGAATCTATGAACTGTGATGAAGTATATTGTTAACTTCTTCCTAGTTTTATTGTATTATGTATACAAGCATAGAAAAAATGAAAAATTAACCTTCTCTTTATTTACAATGAAGCTTTATTGAATATATGCCTATAACATAATTTTGATAACTTTATCCATATTTATCGTACATAAGCATGCATGATTGGATTCATTAATCGTATGATTCTATCATTTAATTATAAGCTTAAGCAATTTTTATTTGTTATAATATGGAGAAAGGTAGAATACACAATATAGTGACGCAAACAAATGTCACCACTAAATATAACATCAGATAGTGTATATGCTAGAGGTTTTGGCATTTCATCAATCATAAAATGTTTTATGCTATAAAAAAGAGTCAAATACAATTCTAGATGCCTAACTTTAGTAATCAAAAGCACGTGACAAGCATATAATTGAAGACTGTGATTGTCTTTCTTTAATATGAATGGGATTGAATCTATAGGGAAACAATTTCATGTTGTGTCATTTGCACAATCCATTCATTACCAGGTAAATGGTTATACGTACAGACTATTTTGGTCCAATATAGAACTTATACATGTTACCTCAACATCTAGTATTCTGTATTCCTCCGGGCATTTAAAATAAATAAATAAATAAATAAAATCTAGAATTTTTCAGGGAGGTCGATGCTCAGCAACTTGTACTGGAGTGTCGAGAAGGGGACACCACTTCTGACAAAACAAAATGAGCATGAAAATCTGAAACTTAACCATAATTTTAAATTTAATTTTATCATTTCTTCCAATTATAAGCTACCATACCGTGTCTCAGCTGGTGTGTGCATCTACATCTATCCTGTGTATATATGTATATATATACAGAATGAAAGAAGATAAATTAGAAAGTATAAATGAATCCTACATATATACATGGGGTACTAACCCGGTCGCCGATATTGCAGAGGTTGTGCTCATCATGGGCCATGAATTTGGAGGTGCGCTTGACATATCGATTGTAGAGCTTGTGGTGGAAGAGCCTGTCGACCGCCACCACCACCGACTTCTGCATCTTGTTCGACACGACCATCCCCACCACAGGCTTCATCTTTCTATCCTGCCAATACAGATCAATTCAAGTAAAACAGGTCAATTCCTCCAAGTCAAAAGGTAACCTTATTTGACAATCCAAGACATGTCCATGACCACTTTTCTTTGATCCAATCAACAAATAACTTAGAACCCATATAGCGCAAACACCAAAAGAGGTGAAAACAAAGATACCCACAAGGATAAATCATCATTGGCTTCTAGGGTTTAAGGGGAAATCCATTAGACTAGTAAATTATTACTGTAACATGTGATTGAAAGAAATTTTATGCATACATGCATATGGAGAAGGGAAAGGGGGGTTCGGAGAAGGAGAAACGAGAATCGGGAAGGGAAAACAATGCAGATGAGAGAGGTCTAGGGAGAGTTGAGGATGTGGGAGAGAGAGAGAGAGCTCTCGAGCTCCATACCTTGAAGAGAGTTCCGATAGATTGTAGAGAACGAAGTTGCAATTTCGTGGGAATGTATACTTTTTAGAGAGCAAGCGCTCCAACCCCCTACACTCTCTGCCAACTACATCAAAACCCTACTTACTCAGCTCGCTGCCAAGCTTTTTGATTGGCGACACTGAATTTTTCAAAATACGACGTCGTCCTCTTTCGTTTGGACATACAAAAGTGGATAGGGTTTGGGAAGGATAATGGTTATGGGGATGTAGTTAGAAGTAAAAAGAATGGTTGTGGTGGTAGTGGAATGGAGTCAAGAGCCCCTCCTTGCAAGCTTCTACTTGCGCCCGTTTTTGCAGGGTCTTTGGGCCTACTTTTAGGCTCAATTTTGATAATTCGAACTGTTTATATTTTATGATTTATTCAGTATATCATATCTGTAAAAAATCAAATTGATCGGATATCAGAAAGTATGTGTTTGAAAAATTGAACTAAAAACTATTTTTTTAAAGAATTTAATAAACAGTTTTCTGAACATATGCTTTTTAATATCTGATCAACTTGATTTTTTACATGTATGATATACTGAATAAATCATAAAATATGAACGGTTCGGATTATCAAAATTGAGCCCGAAGGCCCTGCAAGGACGGGCGCAAGTAGGAACTTGCAAGGAGAGGATCCTCATACAGTGGAATGATGGTGTTATTTATGGCAGCAGTGACAGATGAAAAGTTGTAGGAATTATTGTGGTGGTGGTTACCAATATGCATAGTGTGGTTTGGTGTATAAGAATAAAATAAAAATTGCGTAGCGAGTTGACAAATTTGTCATTAGAAATCACTATTTTTTCTTTAAAAATTGGCGGATTAAAAAGAGCTTGATTCAAATTACAAAATTTGAATTAAAGATTTAAAAATCCTAATTTATCATAAATAAAAAAAATAAAGAAGTCACGTTTCAAAACATGAAGAAATATGTCATTGCTAAGAAACTAAATGGCTCATTTGTGTACAAAAACCCTTAAAAAAAATTCGAATTCATGGAAAAATAAAAAAACAATTAAACACCATGCAAGTAATAAATTGGGGATTATGATTAAGAGAAAATGTAAAAACATGGTCACCAACAGAACAACTAATATGCAGAGAGAGAGTACCAGGCAATGGTGATTAGCGGCGGTGATCTGCGGCAATCAGCAAGGTGAGCTGCGAGGGAGGCGATACAACGTGTTTCTTCTTTACAAATCTGATATGGACAGCCTTAAGTTGGGAATTGATTGGGTGTGCGTGAGTCCATGTCTTATTAAATACAATTGGTGGGTTAGGTTGGTTTGAAAGACAAGTTAGAATTTTGAAACCGCCACCCGCGCTAACTTGTCAACCCTAGACCACCAACCTACTTGCTAGACCTCTAAAAATGCACGGTTTAGCTCAATTTGGCACAGTTCGGATGATTTTAGTAATTTTAATAATATTTTGCACAACCCTATACTTGCGGCTATTGATAGGAGAGTAGCACCGCCATTAGTCAACCACTTAATTCCTATTTCTCTCCCTATTCCCATTTCTCTCTCTATGTTTGTTTTTTTTTTCTATGTTTTTGTAAAACTCTAACTTGCACCACTGAACAACGTATTATTTTCACAATCGACCACCACAGCCCAATATGTTTTTCCTTTCAATCTTTAAGGTACACTCAGTGTTGGAAAAGATAGTGTTGTGGTGACTTTAATGTGAAATTAAAGTAGGTCACAATCACTAGTTGATGTGAGATCAAATGGGTTTAGATTCTTTGTAACAAGATTTTTACACCATAAAAAAAACCAAAAATCATTGAGAATTGAATGAGAAATTGTCTCATAAAGTTTGCCTCATAACTGAAGTATTGAAAATTGTATATAACTCTTATCACACATTGATTGTAGAGGAAAGCAATGATGGGTATTTAAACCTCAAGATTTTGATGAGGGCATGAGTCCTTTGGGACATACAAATTTTACGAATGAAGGGAGTTATGAATGCTTTAAGAATGGGCTTGGGCCAAAACTATGGTCCAAAAATTACCACGCGCGTGCGCACGCTGCCCGCTGGCCCGCCCAGACCAATCCGAGTCTCAGTCCACGGATTGTGGATTGGATATTGGGACTTGGGCTTGAGGTTTTAGACTTAAGGCTTGTTGGATTGAGCTAGGTTTGAGCTTAGACTAGGTCTGTTTGGTAGTTGCAGAAATATACACATGTGCATATAGAGTGTATAACTTATACACTAATTATCCATCAGTTTTCTTGCATTACTTCTTCAATTTTGCAAAAAATGAATTTTGCATTAATTGTAGAAAGGCTCCTTCTGTGAAAGAGAATGGGAAAAAAAAATACAAAACCAAATTAATAGAATTTGGGACTGTAAAACCAAAAATTTGTACTACTAACTTTTTGTTGAACATAAACACCTAAGCATGGAAAAGAATTTGTTGGACCAAATAGAATCTTATTTGGATTGGTTTATATTTCTTATATTTGAAGCGATTTGTTGCTTGTATTTTAGTAGTGGTTAATTACCTAATTTTGAAGCATTTTATTTACTTGTAATTGTTGTAGCAATGTTTAACTGTTTGAAATTTGGTTAGAAATTTTTAAATTGCTTGTAACGCTTTGGAACTTGATTTGTTTTAACATAATTTATCCCCTAGAAAACTTAATTTTAAATTTGTATACCATGGACTAGGAGTCAACATACTCTTGAAAGTTTAGTCTAAGGTTAACTGAGTCTTTAGTGGGACCGGTGTGACCTCTCCAGTCTTTCTGGAAATTTTCCTGACCATGTTCGACTCTAGGATAAGTGGTGAGACTAGTTTTGTATTAAATTTCCAATTTTTGGATTTTCTAGTGTTAAGTTTAGTTTCGAGAAATAGAAAATAGTGAAATTTTGTTGCATTTTTCAGAAATGGCAACTGTAATTGATGCTACTGCTGCTAATGTTGGTAGGGATCAGAACCCTGGGTCAACTGGCTTGCGAACACTTATTGTGACCTCTATGGTCAATCATGTTGCTACTTTTGTTGTTCTAGGAGGACTGCTCAACCATCATGAGTGCCCAGAGAAGTTCACTAGAGTGAATTTCAAGAGGTGGCAACAAAAGATGTATTACTTGACCATTCATACCTTTGCGAGGTTTTTAAGTGAGGATCTACCAGCTGTGGAAGAGAATGAACAAGACAAGCAGAAGTTCATGGCTTTAGATGCATAGAAGCAATCAAACTTCCTTTGCCGGAACTATGTTCTGAACGGCTTGGCAAACACATTATTCGACATGTTTTATGCCAAGAAGTCAGCAAAGGAGGTGTGGGATGCTTTGGACAAGAAGTATAAGCCCGAGGATGCTGGGGCAAAGAAATTTAAAGTTGGCCGGTTTGTGGACTTCAAAATGGTGGACTTTAAATCTGTCATTAGTCGAATCCAAGATTTCTAAGTAATTCTGCACGAGATTCATGTAGAGGGAATGTTGCTAAGTGAATCATTACAGGCAGTTGCTTCGATTGAGAAGCTGCCTAATGGCTATAAAGACTTCAAGAACTACTTGAAGCACAAACGAAAGGAAATGACAATTGAAGAGCTCATTGTCAGGCTCCGCATTGAGGAGGATAACATGAAGAAATTGAGGAGTACCTCTGTTGTGAAAGCAAATATGGTTGAGCATGGCTGGTCCTCGAGGGTGAAGAAGAAGCCACCGACAAGCAAAAGCTTGAAGCTGGAGGCTAAAGGTGGTGTCTCTAAGAGACCGGTCTACAAGTCGCAGGAACCTACTTTTAGGTTCAATGGAAAGTGCTTCAACTATGAAAGCGATGGGCATCGAGTGGTTGATTGCCACAAAAAGAAGAAACCTTACAATAAGTACCCTCCATAGAACAAAAGACGAGCTCACATGGCTAATATGAAGGATCTCTTTCAAGCAGTGGACGACATGCATCTATTAGCTGTTGTCTTTGAGGTAGACATGGTGGGGTCCAACCCGAAGGAATAGTGGGTGGACACTAAGGCCACTCGCCACATCTATGCTGAGAAGAAGATGTTCATAGCTTTCGAACCGGTTTCAAACGGTGAGAAGTTGTTCATGAGGAATTTTGCAACCTCAACTTTTGAGGGTAAAGACAAGGTGGTCCTGAAGATGACTTCAAGAAAAGAGCTGACTCTGAATAACGATGTCCTGTTTGTGCCAGACATCATAAGAACCTTGTCTCGAGGTCTCTCTTAAGCAAGCATGGCTTCTGCATGGTGGTTGAGTTTGATAAGGTTGTATTGACCAAGAGCAGAGTCTATGTGGGGAAAGGGTATATGTCGGGCAGTATGTTTAAGCTCAATGTAACGACAATTATCCCAAAGATTAATGAGAAAGCTTCTTTGTAACACCCCATACATGTAATTCCCATTGAACTATTACCATAACATGCACCATGCACACACATTGCATAATTCCATTCAAATGTTTCTCTTTCTCATTGAACTACAGATTCAATTTACAAAAAAAAAATACATGATACAGATCTTAGTTCAGTAAGTTAGAGAAAATTACAAAACTATTACATTGTCCTTTGAGTTTACCAATTACATTGAGACATTTACGTTGTGTTTGGTTGGGGGATTTGGGAAGGGAATAGGAAAAGGAAAGGGAAAAGGTAGGTGAAATGTGAATAAAATATACTTATATTTCACCTAGTTTCACACACATTTTCCATTTCATTTTCTAAATTCTTCCCCAAATCCCCCAACGAAACATAATGTTAATACAAAACTACAAAACCCAAAATAAAACTAGAAATGAATTCCATAGTTACATTACAACTTCAAGTTCACAAAAATTTAGATTTTGAAAAAAGGTAGCCGTTTTCTTCTTCTTCTTCATTGACGGTTCTAAGGATCTTCATTTCCTGAAATGTTAGGAGATAAGAATGAGCAATTGCCCAATAGAGAATAACTTCAACCAAGTGTATAAACATTTGATTTAAATATGCATGACCTTTACGAATGCCCATGAATTTTCCTTGGTTTAAAGGCAATTACACAACACACAATTCAACATCTAATCTCCACATTTTTCCATCCTCATATGAATGGCCAGTGGACACCTCAAACCTTCCGCTTTCGCTGTCCTCACACGAACTGGCTAGTGGACACCTCACAAC